TTTTTTTTAAAAGTGCAACAAATGATGCATAAATACTTTTTTTGCGGAGAAATTCCTTAATTGTTATAGAATAATAATGCATAATAATAATGAACAGTCTTAATTTACTTTTTGCAAAATGGGATTTTGTGTGGTGTTAGCTTTTGGGCTGTTAATTCATGAAAAAATATTTTATTTCAGTATTATAAATATACTATTATAATATTTATGAATATTTTTAATTAGTTTTTATTTTTATATTTTCATTATTTTCACTTTATTTTAATAATTCTATTTAGCTTTATTTTTAATTCAGTTTTAGTACTTCAACTTCAACTTTTTTTTTTCATTTCAGTACGTTGCCAATGCAGCATTTCTAATATTCTAATATTTATATTTCAGTTATATTTCAATAGTCTCTTGTTTATTTTAATAGTTTAACCGTTTTATTACCGTTTTAATTTTAGCACTGGTTTGAATTACACAAGATGCTGATAAATTGATTGCATATATTGATATTTGCCAAGTAAAGCCCCCAAATGATAATGTGATTCACCCAAACACTGTAAACTGTAAATACATCAATTTCATACACTTTTTATTAACTTTTTATCTTAGGCCACTGAAGGGAGAAACTGGGACGACTACATCTTGGTCTCGCAGGATGGCGAGCCATCTGAGAGTGAAGAACAAAGCATAACCACCACGGCTCCACTCTTTAAGCATGTACGAGGCCTAAACAAGGCGGATTTTCAAGACCCTCTGATGGGGACCACATCTGGGTCCTCCAGTCCAGATGACGGCAGCACTCACAGCAAGGACTCTGATTTCACTATTGTTAATCCTACTGACCCTTGAACCTGGATTCCCTCTAAATATTACTGGACCCATCTTCAACACTTAAGAAACTCTGCTGGACGTTTGCAGATACGAACTCAGGCTGATTGCCCCATGCCCTGTAACTGAATCCCTAACCACACATCTTGTTTCTTAAATCCTGGACCTCTGCCTGTGTATTTAAGTACAATCTAATTCAAATGTCTCTTTTCTTTGTGCCCCAAATATAAGGCCCTATACTGTACCATGTATACCATGGATCCTTTGCTCCGTTACCTAAATGTGGTATCCAAAGCCATAAAAAGCAGCCTCAACTCAAATGAGATTTTCCATTCTGTAATTTTCTTTGAAAATGCCCTTACGACTGAAAGTTTTTGACATCACCTTGACGTCTATGTGGAAAACATATATTTGTTTTCTCCTAAATCAATATCCTGTGAAATACATTTAACACACTCTCTGCCTCAGATAAAAGCTATATTTGCTACAGTTCTCCCTCTATCTCTGTCTTTGTCTTCTTTTGGATTACTAAAGCTGGGACCTTGACAGATGCTCAATCTAGTAGTCGAGAGCTCTATTATCAATATGGACTGAGTGTCGCTATCATTCACTCACTCATCTTTACTGATTTTCCATGAACCAGTGCCTGAACAGTTGTCCATTTTTTGTCTGTATTTTCTTTTTTTAAGATTTGCGATTTTAGTCCATAGACCACAACATTTGTCATTTGTTAAATTATTTCTTTCATATTTGTCATTTTTAAGCCAATGATATGTGAAACTTTTATGTTCTAGTATTTCTCTGGCGTCATTAGCCTCATTTTGTCTAGGTTCCCGTGGTAACTGTATTGTTTTGCACATGACACAAGGGATGTTTCTAATACTGATATTAACTCTGGATGAATAAAAAGCATTACTCTTGTCTAATCCAAAGCTTTGTGCACGCTACACTTTTCTTGTTATTTTTAGCCAATTATTTCCCTTTTCTGTGGAGATGATAATTGTCCTTATACTAGCCTACCTAAACACAGTCAACCAGTAGACCGTGAGTGAGCCAAGTTGGTTATGAGGCACATGACCTAAAATTCAGTCCAAATAGGCAGCTCGTGATTTCAAACGCGACATCTAGCGGTCAGTTATTGCTATAGCACGATTGGCTCCTCGTTAATAATAAATTAACTAGCATTTCGTCAAATTAGTCCTCGAATTCGGACTATATTACATTTCCTCATTTATGTAAATCTGATTTATTTTGCATTTAAATGCTAAACAAAATTTTGTACGCTCATAAAGGTCTTCTCAAGTCCCTCGTGTACATTCCCAAACTTTCATGCAGTAAATAGATACTTTTAGACTCTACCGAACTTTTAGACTCTACCGAATCTGTCATATTATTTTAGAAATAATTAGAGTTTGTAATGTTCGAGCTCTGGCCAATTCACGATAATAAAAAAAATTATGTTATAACAGTGTAAATAACTTTACAATTCGCCTTATTTGGTATTTATTTTCCAATTAGGACTGAGAGGGTGTGGCGTTTTAATGCAACTCCAGCCAGAAGCACAGCCACAGACCCAACGATCCACTCACTTCATTAACTTATTTTGTCATTTTAATTGTTTTAGATATGGTAAGTAACAGAAATAGTAATAGCATTTGATAATTTCATCTCTCGGACACCATCTATAAAGTTCGGTGTTATTAATATCAAGTTTGTTGCTGTTAAAATTTCGCGCGGCAAAGAACTCGCTATCAGTTGAAATCAGACCGTCGCCCATTAGATTATGTGCATCTGTCAGGAGAGCACAAATGTTCGTCCAATTAACTAATTTTAGCCTTAATGCCTAGATTGCTTAATGAAGAAACATGAAAAGGTCGTGTTGGAGATCGACCCGGTTTCGGCCGCGTGTGTGTCGAGCACTTTGAAACTTCTTCACTTAGCATTTCGGCTGACTTTGGGGTGTATGTTTAGGGAATAGGTAACAAAACGTGTGGCTTTACCTCAAATCTAAGATGCATCAGGGCGTTCAATTACCCCTGTGCCTCATATGTGGCTTATATTCACAGGTAATCGTATTTTGAACCTCAATGACGTGCGGCTACCGGTTGCTTTTGAGGGCTCATGTTGTACTTGCTGTGTGTTCATTGTCTTGTTAATACTATGTGTTGATATCATGCCGAAAATGTTGTGAAATACGTACAGGATATCCAGAAGCACCGTCAGGGCTTTACGTCTTCTCTGAAGTTGTCTAACGGTTATATTTTACCTGAGGGCAAGATGACGCCCAACACACTGTTCGTCGGCGGGATTGACATGAAGGTAATGATGCTGATGGTAAACCGAAGCTTTTACAATTCTAAACTCTACCCACTATGCCATATTTTTTATCTACTCTCCAAACTGGTACTTGTTTGATCAGGTGGACGAGAACGAGATCAGAGAGTTCTTTGCCAAGTACGGGTGTGTGAAAGAAGTGAAAATCATCACTTATCGAGGAGGAATATGCAAAGGGTGAGTAAGAGTCATGATTTGACCTACTGTGAAAAAAAAAAAATTAGCCTATGTGTGTTTAAGCTGAACGAGTCTAGCCTGACCAGCTAAAAATGTGGTCAAAACCCTTCTAGAATCAGCAAGGCTTGGATACCAGCCAACCAGCTTTAACTGGTTTAACTTCTTTTTTTTTTATTATCAGAATTGTTTTCTAATAGGTCATTCAGAATATATTGTGTATATACTAATATATAGCATTTTTTTCTGAACTAATTTAGTTTTAATCTAATTTTACCAGACTATCATAATTGTGCATCGCATCAAGTCACCCAAATGCTTCTTTTGTCATTTTTGCTTTCATGCCATTCAAAGAAAGTCATCTTGGAACAACATGTAGAGGAGTAAATGACCGAATTGTCATTTGTGGTGTGAACTATCCCTTTATAGAATGTGTCTTGGAAACTGCTTTAAAAAAAAAAAAAGTGTCTCTTTGTCACATCTGATTAGTTTCCCATCTTCTTCCACACAGGTATGGTTTCGTTTATTTCAGCGAGGACGTTGATATCCAGACCATCGTTGATGTAAGGAGGTCACTTTTACTTGTCTACATGACTGTCTTCTCTCTTTTCTGTCTGGGTGTTTGTTATGACGGTATCTTGACGTCTCGTACATTTCAATTCTTCTACAGCAGCCGATCAGTTTTAAAGGGAAAAAACTCAAACTGGGACCTGCCATCATGAAAGAGCGAAATTCTCGTGAGTCCCTGCACATTGCTGCCTGTTTGGTCTGTCTTGTACAAAAGTCATGGAGTTGCTATATATATATTTTTTTATCTTATTGGAGACATTTGTACTTGTAAATTGTTTCAATTTTGAGAATTGGTAGTGGACATATTTGGAAATACTCTGATCTTTTAAAATGATTTCTGCAATAATAAATGTAATCTTAACAACCTAAAAAGTAGCGATGCACCGATCGATCGGCCAGGGATCGGAATCGGCCGATTTTCCTCTTGATCGGCCCGGATCGGTGATCGGCCAGTCAGTCTCACTACTTTCCGATTCCGAGCCGATCCGTTTTGTTACCAGCGGCACAGGCAATAACGTCAGCCACGCATTTTCGCTCTGTTCTCTCCGACAACCCCTTCTCTCTCACACACGTCTCATTCGCTCTGGTTAAATAGTGCTTGTATTGAGCAGTATTTTAGTCATTCCCGCAGGTTTCGCACTTATACCAAACGCGCGCACCATCACTGATCTATATTAGTGGAGCGCACAATCCGCGCTCAATCTCAAACAGCTTGTGAGCCGCCATATACCAAAATGAGTGGCTAACTGCGCTAAAACGTTCAAATACATACAAAATTATAAAGGCGGGGCATAGAGGAGAAACATTGTACAGTATGTGAAAAATTATGTATTTTTTTTAACCTTAAACCGCATAAACACATTTCATTACACCAAATACACAAAATAATGTTCTTTTTAGCAACATCATATGACCCCTTTAACCTGAAAAACTTAGTTTCATAGCTCTCTTTATTCTATTGCATTTATTTGTGCTGTTGTTTGCAATTTTTTTTTTGTTATTTTATTACTGACTTTTTACTTTAATGAAAATAAAGCTTTGCGTTGAAGAAAAGTAGATTTTTGTAGATTATAGTTCTTAGTAACGTCGCGGTAACGGCAGATCACACTAACCGAAAATCGGAATCGGCCAAGAAAATTGCAATCGGTGCATCTCTTCTAAAAAGTCATGTAATTTCATTTTTTAAATATGTGTTGGAATCGTATTCTTAGGTTCAGTGTCGTCTCCAATGATTGGTCCATCACAGTGGATAAGCTCCACCCCATATGTGTACTGCAGCTGCTGTCCCCCAAGCCTGGCCCCGCCTTCACCTGTCTTCAATGGAGGGAATCAATACATGCAGGTAACTACACAATGTTCATACAAACCATGACACTCTGCAAATGTACATCATGTGGAGGAGTTAGACATTCTGCCTCCTAAAATTTTGCACATTCCAAAGATTGTAGAATATCATTGTTTTTCCTATGTGTCTGTCTGTCTTTATAGCCTTATTCGTACTCCAGTCCTCCAGGATTTATTGTCCCACAGGTGCCCATGAATTATGCACAGACCACATATGCCTACCAGGTACACAATCACCTGGGCACACAAACACGTATGGTCACATTGCTTTCATCTCACCGATACACACACTTGGAAATCTTGTGTTTTTTTTTGTGTGTGTGTGTATAGTATCCCCTGCCACAGTGGTGTGGAGAGCAGAGGACGAGGCTTGTCAATCAGGTCAGCTCCACTCCCCTTTTTCTAGGTTGGTAAATGAGGGATTGAGCACAAGAGGTTGACACAGTAAATAATTTATAATGTTACAAAAGATTTGTTTCAAATAGATGCTGTTCTTTTGAACCAATTATCAAGGAATTGTGGTTTCCACAATCCACACAAATATTAAGTTTTTAATACTGATAGTAATAAATGTTTCTTGAGCACCAAACCAGCATATTTGATTTCTGAAGGATCTTGTGATGCTGAAGACTGCTGAAAATTCAGCTTTGTCATCACGGGAATAAATTACATTTTATATTCAAATAAAAATTATTTAAAACTAGAATTATATTTTTACATGTTTATTAAAAAAAATTGAGCCTTGTAAAAATACAAGATTTCTTTTAAAACACTGCGTAATCTTACTGTCCTTTTATCCTTGGAGATGCACTAATATTTGTTGTAGTTCATATTGTAGTGTAATTGCTTACAGTACAAATTGAACAAAGATGTTAACCACTTTAGCTAACTTTAGTTAGCCTAGTGTTCTTGCCTTGCCCATTAAATTAAATTGAGAAGAGTGTGTAAGCTAGTCCAAGACAGCTGCCTCTAGCATTTTAATAATGTCAGTGCAGTGTAGCAGTAAGCACCGGTTTTACATTAGTCTATGCTAAAGATCATTGTGTCTGAGATTTGCTAAAATGCTCTGCAATCAGGGCCCTATGAAATCTTTTTTTTTTTAAACCAATTGTGTTTTTCGGTTTCATTTTGATGCTTATGGTTTGTGACAAAATCAATTTGTGTGTTTTTCATTAAATGTTTTAATTGTATTAGTATTTCTTTGAGAAGTACATTTTACTATACAATAGTAATATTTTTATCAATTTCAAGGTAAAACAAAAAGCATTTCGGCGAGTTGTAGTGAAAACCTTTTGAGTTTCTTTGTGTGTGATATGACAGTACCTTATCTCAAATGAAACCGTGAGATATTAGTGATGTGAACTCTCAGGGCTCTAGGCAATGAACCACATCCACTATCATGGTTTCATTACTTCCACAAGTGTGAAGAGTAGCTCTGAGCAACTACCTCAGAACATGAAACATGTCATGATACATGTCAATCACAATGTGCCACAAGACTGCAACCATACAGTCTTTATTATCCATGGCTAATGAAGTGCTCTGTACCCATATTACGTTCTGTGGTAAGCCTTTAGATGGCAGTGCTGGCTTAATATGAAAATTGCAAACACCTGAAGGGAAAAAAAGTATGCTAAAATTGAAAGGCTCCTCAATATAAGAAGAGTGTATGTGTGGCTCTCTTTCAGAATTATGTGGATTGTGGAGTCCAGACTTTGCTAACCCTTCTGTAGCCTTCAACCACTAGCACAGACTCCTTTTCTTGGTAAGTTTTTGTGCACCTAAAATGAAGATACAGTCTTTAGTCTCAAGAGTCACTTTGTTTCTTTTTCTTAGGGTAGAATCCCATAGAAGCAGAGGACAACTTGGAGATCAAGCAGTGAACTTCATTGTGCTTTGAAACACAGTTGCAGATAGGGTCACCCTGGGTGTGATGTGAAGGTGTATTTTGAGGGAATGACTGATTTATGATCATATGATCATACTGTAACCTAATGCCTCACACATCCACACACTGAAACATTTGACAAGCTTTGTTTGCTTTTGCTTATTCAACCCATATATATATATTTTTTTTTTTTTTTGTTTTGTCCGTTTTTCTTTCTTTGTCATGGCCAACTAACTTTAAAGACACTTTTAAGCTCACAAATACATATTTATATTTTATGTTTGCTTATTTTAAAGTTTGACTCACTGTTGGTGATGCACTGTATGCATTTAGGTAACTGTTCTAACGTGTTCAGTGTGTTGTTTTAAACCAATGTTCATTTGTTTACTCATTTAGGCTGGTAAGTGTTCACTGTTAGTTTTATTTTGGGGTTTTCACATTCAGGGCACATGTTTGGATTTTCTCTGTTTGGTTATTGAGCACCAGGGTACAGTGGCTTCCCCCTCCTTTTTTACTCTAAATCTGCTTTCATCAGTTGTCATCACTGTACTTCCATTAATTTTTCATTAACACTGTTTTTCTATGTTGGTGCAGTTAAGAGGTTTCAATAAGATCACTGCATTAATTCAAAAGTTACAATAAATTTTTTTACTGAGCCCTGTAAGTCACAGCAGGTCACGGGACAGTTGACTTGTTTTAAATTAAAGCGATGACGGAATATTGATATCACTGTGAACACAGTCGTTCTGCATTTTTCTATTTTTCCAGCACTTTTTTGCACCAGTTCATTTTAATGGTTTTTTTTTGTTGTTTTTTTTGTTTGTTTGTTTTTTTGAAGGTTTGTAAAGTTAGGGGTATTGTTGTTCTGAGCACAAAGCACTCATTTTATCCATGGAGTTACACTGTTCTTATAGGTTTTTCTTAAGGGGGCTTTGATTTAATAGCTGTAGCATATTCATCAGATACTTTTAAAAACCAACTCTGACTGGCTTGTATTGAAATATTGCAGTTTTAGTTCCTCATTTCCCATGGCTTCATGGGAGTTGTGGTCTATATTGTACCATAGTCTGATAGCTTCTAATCACTGTACTCTGGGTTTGCCTTTTGTGTATATATATATATATATATATACACGGTTTGGATTTTGATGTTGGCATTGTATGGTTTTGCTGTTTTTGTTGTTAATAAAAAATAGTTGAATTAACTTATTTTTGCTTTAAGGTTGCTTTTTTTATTGTAATAGGCACCAGGTTTAAAAAAATTTAACTCGTTTGTGAGCTCCATTTTTTTTGATCGATTGTTATTGGAACTCATTTTATTGTAACTTAAAGGAGACATTTCTGGAGAATCCTATTTGTAGTTTGTTGCTGTGGAATGTTGTAGTATGTGCTGGCCTCTCATCCCCTGTATTGTCTGGCCTGAAACACTTTTAAACTATGAATTGGTCATGGTTTATTCACATTAAATATGAATTTAATACCGCTTCTCAGACACATGAATATGCTTTAACATGGACCACTCTATAGGTGTTAACATTTAACAAACATCACATTCACTTGGGAGTTGAGACCGCTTCGGCCTGACAACTTCTGGACTGTTTGACATTAGTCATTTTAGTAGCCTACTCTTCAAAACTGAACTGAATTCAAATCAAAAATGTATGTTGCTAGATATAGAATAACTCCGTTATTTTGTCTCTGAATTTCATAACACTGTTATGCTTATTGTCCTGAACAATAATTTGTGTAGCCTACGGTGGAAATATACAAAGTATGAAATATAAATTCAGAAAACAATAAAAACTTGTTTTTATTAGGATTATTGTGCCTTACAAAGGAATCCATAGAACAAAAATAATAGAATCTTAAACGCGCATAAAGTGGACTCGTGGTGGCGCTAGAGGATTAAAATTTTTTTTTTTTTTTTTTTTTTTTTAGGTTTGTCTTTAATGAATGAAGAATCAGAACGAAGAAACTGATTTATATCCAAAGATTCATTGTATAACATCATACTTTGAAGTCAACGTGGCATTTTTGGTTTATTATGGTACCATTAGTCAAAAAATTCTGGGTTTTAGTGTATGTATGCTGATATTTATTTTATAAATATTTTTAAACTACTCACTGTAGTTTAAGTGTACGATGTTGATGAAGCGATCGAGAGACGAAATGAGAGCGATTTTGAAACCTCGGAGAGCATCGTTCCCTTTCCGTCTCAGAGGAGAGAGAAGAGAGAGGGAGCAGGAGGAGTCTCGTTCGCACCGCGCTGTATTGGCTGAAGGAGTCGCCTGAGCTCCTCATCCGCTCACCTGCCTCCAGTTCTCACACACAAGCTAGGGCACGAGAGTTGACAAAACGACTGAAAACTGAAAGAAACCGGAGAGGAGCGAAAGATAATCAGGGGAGAAAGAAACGACAGGGGAGACTCAAATCGAGAGAGACAATCAAATAACAACAGCAGGTATGTTCACTTTGTGTAGTTTCTTTCTGTCACTGTACCCTAATCTAACACTATGTCAGTTTACTGATTCTATCCAAAAGTCACTGCTTTCTTCTCTTCTGATTCATCTTGTTTCTTTTCTTCCCATGTTCTCATTATAGTTGTAATAAACGCTTGTATTTGCCATTGAATGTGATATGAGTCACTATAAAATTCAAGCTTTCTTCTAATTCAAAGACTGAGTTTGTGCATGTGTGCAAATAGAGAACAGCATAAATATCAAAGAATGTCACACTTCCATGTAAGTCAAGCTAGAAAAAAAAAAAACATTTTTATCTGCATGGTATTGTATAATTCATATGTAGTGTTTTTTTAAACAAACCCTAAAGATATTAAAAAACAACTAAAGGGTCATAGTGTATATATATATATATTATGTGGTCTGCTTATAATATTAGTCACATTTTTTGCACATAAAATAGTAATAATTTATCATGACAATTTTCCCTATGACATTACAATTAATGGGAAAATGTTTTTGTTTTGTTTTTTGGACTGTTGTGGACTTTTTCACTCCTTTTCCTTTTGAATTTAAATGCCGTCTTTGCATGTGAAATGAGATAAAATGTGCTAAAATATACAGTGGTTTGCTGATGCCCCTGCTTTAATAGCCTTTGTGAAAGTGTGCATTTCATTCACAATACCATCTGCACTGAAATATGCCGCTCAAACTGTTAAATCACTGAAATGATCTAAAATGAAACTTTAGTTGCTCTTTCCTAATGTTGGGATCCTTTGCTGACACAGAGCCGCAGGTGCTACACACAGGCAGGAATTTATAAATTGTGCTTTAGCAATGTTAATATTTCTTATGAAACATGCACATTCATTGATGCTTTATACTACAAAATATGTGTTTGTATTGTATGAATTAATAATATAAATATATGAGAATACAGCTTCAACCTTGACTTTAAGCAAAAAACTCTTCAGGACAGGCACATATTGTTCATTCGCACATGATGGGATCAAGTGAGACAACTGCCGGAAGAAGATGACCTTCGGTTAGTATTTCACACACACATACACACTCACTCACAGTGGGGCTCCGAGGCTGATATGAGTGACAGGCTAAGCAGTCAAACTCTGAGAGAGAGAGAAATATAGCAGAGGTGAGAGATTGGAAGCGAGAGGAATGAAGTAAGAGATGATTACGAACCTGTGAAATGTGAGGGGAGTGTGCTATCATCAACTTTCATATTCAGCCATTCCAACCTGCTCTTGCGATAGTGACCTACTAACATCTCACACACAAACTTTCTCACATGTGCATACATATACCGGGACTGGATAGTTGCATGTCTACAAAGACTCCAATTTACTGTCAAACCCATTCACAATTTAGATAGCAGTTTAAAAAAAAAATAATAATAAAAAAAAAATGTTTTGTTGTGGTTTCCACAAAAAAGTATTATGACAGTAACATGGAACAGTGATAATAATATACCACATATTGTCATAACTGTACCATGGTACTGCCATAGTACTTGAACAGTACTTCAATTTTTATTACAATTTTCTGATTTGTAATAAAAAAAGTAAAAAATTTGATAAAATATTGTGAAGCATTTTAACTAGTTGTCTACTAGTGAAAATGCTTCACAATATTTTATCACATTTTTTACTTTTTTTTATTACAAATCAGAAAATTGTATTTTATATATATGTATGTGTGTGTGTATATATATATATATATATATATATATATATATGTGTGTGTGTGTGTGTGTATATATGAATATATGTAAATATATTCTATATACCTATCTATCGTGATATATTCATGTATGTGTATAAATAAATATATGTAAATGTTATATATATTTCTATCTATCGATATATATATATATATATGCATGTCTGTGTGTAAACATAATATGATTGGTGATCTAGAAATTCCTATCCTAAATTTTTATTAATCATTATTTTGTTGTATTATAACATTTCTTATTCATTAAAATTAAAAGAATTCTAAAATGTTTATTTAAAAACAGTTATTTATATTTGCAATACCAGTTTTTCAATGTAGTCTAATTTGGACCCCACTACATATATCATGATACTGAATTATTACCATATTTACATACTGTAGTGTTGTAGTGTTTACATAGTGCTATAGCGCTACCATGGTACATGCACAAAAAACAAGGTACCATATCAAACTATGGTACTTTTGGTACTTTTTTGTCTTGTTGACATTGGAGATGATGCGATGAATGTAGTAAAATGCAGAATTACACAATTGTATTATACTTTTATTCAAATATACAAGATTGTATTAAGATCCTTTGTCAGAGCAAGACATTAGGATAGTAAACCAGGCTTTTCTTTATTGCATCATATTGACAATCTCTCGTCTCCGTTGGTTACCAAAGCCCCACCACCACCACCTTGCATTCGATGTGTGCTCTCAACTTATTATCCTTCCCTATCATCATGCCTAAATTTAGCTCTCCATCTTTCTTTTTCCCTTTTTTCTTCCGCTCCCCTCCTCACGCTTATCACAGTGAGAGATTATTGTGTGTGAATATCTTCGTGTGTTCTGCTGCGAACCATGCAGGAAGTGTGTAGTGTGGGAAGTGTATAGTGCAGATGTGATGTAGAGTGTGAAACAATATATGCATCTTTGTGCCGAAGAGATAAACTCAAAGTCTCTGCATTTATGCTTTTGAGTAATCTAAATAATCAATTTTAATCTGATTCATAAGTCTTAATGTATCTATAAAATCTTAAGTGTATCTATAAAAACCTAGAATCATTTTATACTGCTCTTTCATAGCTAAGGAGACTTAGTGGATATCAATATTGTCTCAGAGGTTTCTCCTGTAATTCCTGAGAAATAAAAATAGAAACAAATGTTGATACACAGTAAGACTGTAGAGTAATAAAACAAATGCAGACAGCATAGCTCACATCATTTGGTCTTAGAAGAATTTGATGAGAGATTCATATAGAAATCACTTTTGAATACCAGGTTTTGATATCTTAGAAAATCTGAGCATGTTTGAGATATTGCTGAGATCTTTAGAAGAGACATGTGAGATTTACAGGCTCTCCAAGAAGCAGGAACTCTAGACTTTATTTAATCTCATCACTGCCAATGAGAAACAATTGAGATATTAAAGTGTGTGTTTCCAATGTGATTTTTCTTTCATATGGAAATAGAGATTCACTGACATTAAATTTCTGGGTGATAGTGATAAACTAATCATAACTTTCATGTTTAATGATAAACAATTATATTAAAATCCTATACTATTTTGCCTAAATAATTTAAAAAAAAAATTTTTTTATGTATTTTATCTACTTTCTCATGTGTATTTTTATAAGTATGTGTGGGTGTATGTCTTTGTGAGTATATAAATATATACACACACACATACACTTTTTTTGTTTATCCTGTCGCAGTGTAATGCTTCTTGTTTTTGTTTTCCCATTTATTTATTTATTTTATGATTTGTATTAATCCTAGTAATATTTATTTATTTTTATATCAATTTTTCTTTTTCCGATTTTTCAGCTTTATTCAATTTATTGTTTTGTGTTTAATTTACTAAAAACCAATAAACATTCATTTAAAAGAAAAAAGAAAAAACTTGAATCAGTCATTTCTACAAGCAAATTCATTTTGAGACTTGCTAAAGATTATATTTAACATTGTTATTAAATTATTAGTGCTTGTATCTATTAGTGCATTAGATGAAAGCAAATGTAATAAACATGCACAATAAAATATCCAAGACTGGCCGATAAATAAATGATAATATGGCCAATCACGGTTATGGTACTGATGGGACTGATACATAATGGCAAAGGCTAAGTATGATGCACACATTGCTGTGCTGTCATTTTTGTGCTCAATGAGGGAGCAACTATCCCCTCACTGAGGCTTATGTGCTCATAACAGCATTTGTGTTTGTCAAAGCTTGCGTTTGCTGGTCCCTTGATGATATTGAAGATTCAGCTGAGATTAAGAATCAGTGGTTTCTTTTTCTGCTCTAATAGCTCTCCAAATGTTGTCTGAGTAACTTTGAGCAAACTGATGACCTGTCGGTCTGCTGCCGAGCGATTGGCGTCAGTAATGATGAGATTGTCAGGCTAGTGAAGGGAACTGACGTTTGACTGCCAGCATTAACTTCACTCAGGACAGGTGTGAAGGTCTGTGTATCTCCAGTGAAGTAGTCATTTATATTCCAGCTGTCAGATTCATAATAAAAGCAAATTGTCTCAGTAAATCTTTGTGATTTACTCCTACTTGGAATTTAAGCCTATAGTGCTTGAGGTTACAGATCATTACGTTAACACCTCCCTGTGTATATTCTCAGTTTAAATATAAATAACTCAATCATTTCTTCGAAATCACTAAACTTAAAAGTAGCATATTGTTTCCGATGATTTCAGTTGCTCACTTGAAGTCTGTAGTCCACCATTTTGTGTAATAAAAGAAATAACACACCGATATAAACAGCCACTATCACACCTGAGGCGATAGTTTGATCAAAAAATCAATTCTAGAAGAACAAAGGAGAGATAATTGTTTTTGTGTGATGTTGTACCAGGAGTATTTCTAGTGTTTCAATGGAAATTCAAAGTGAGGAAGCTCCTAAAATGATGAAGAGCCACTTCTGTGTCCACGTAGAGATGCTCTCTGTAGATATAAAGCTCTACATCAGTGCAGACATACCAGGTTATGTTTTCCACCTCCTAATGTTTTCCATTGATGTCTGGGAGTCTGCTGTTTTTGCAGCCTGGGACCTCCCATATACTATTTTGGTAACGTAGTCTAATAAATATGATTTGATATATATGCACTACACTATACCGTTAAAAAGTTTGGGGTCAGTAAGATTTTCATTATTTATTTTAAAGAATGTAATAGTTTTATTTTACACGGACACATTCAGTTAATCCGAAGTAAGAATAAAGGCATTTATATTGTCACGATAGATTTCTATTTCAAATAAATTCTGTTCTTTTGAAATTTCTATTCATCAAAGAATCCTGAAAAAATAACATCCCACTTTCTATAGAAATTTTAAGCACCACAATTGTTTTCAACAATGATGGTAATAAATGTTTCTTGAGCAGCAAATCAGCATATTAGAATGATTTCTAAAGGATCGTGTGACACTGAAGACTGGAGTAATGACTGCTGAAAATTCAGCTTTGCCATCACATTAATAAATTACATTTTAAGATATATTCAAATAGAAACAGTTAAAATTGTAATGATATTTCACAATATTACTGTTTTACTGTATTTTTGAGCAAATAAATGCAGCCTTGCATCTTTCTATAAACACACACACACACAAATAATGTCATCCCATTCCATTCAATAGTTTTCTTTAATTACCCAAAATTGCTTCATTTTCACTCATAGTAAAAGTAAAGACTTTCGGTTCAATCAGAGGTTGATTCAGTAGCAGTTCTGACCGATTCAGTGAAGTCATGCTGTGAGTGCTTCCTCAGACTGATTCAAACTGATAAGTCAGTCTTTTTATGAGTCATTACAAGAATCTCTTATACAAGTCATTAATTCATGTTGCAGCCAGCAAAGACAGCTCAATAGAAAGCATCGTTGTGGCTTTATTGTACATCATTCAATTACTATAATATTTAGACATAACACCACTGTAAGAAAAACCATAGTCTTTTGGAAACTGCTACGAAGGTAATGCCATAATATACTTTGAAATACCTACACTGTAATAAATGACCGTGAATTTAACGGTAAAAGACTGTAAAAATGCTACAGTAAAATCCTGTTAAATGGTTAACGGTAAATTCCCCTACTATATACGGTGAAAAACTGTATTGGACATTACATGTAGTGGACATACATTTTATGGTAGTATACCGTTTTTGGAAGTGAAAAAGACCGTATAATTTTCATTGAATAACCGTAAATTGACATTCCCAGAATTCCCTGCGTTACATTTCAAATTTGATGTTTTTTTGTTGAAATAACTATGTTTCTTTTTAGTTTTTTCTTATCAGTTTTGTATATTAGGGTTGTGCGTTACACCTAATGTTGTTAATGAATGTTTATTGCATTATTTCAGTTTCATGTGTGTTACCATGATGGTGTTTGGTGTTTGTGTGAATGACACTGTGCACCTTCTATATATGTTATTATTTAAAAGCTGCTTGTGATAGGCTTTGGTTCATCGTGTGACTTTTTCATCACCACCTGCATTTGGTGGTTATCAGTGTATTACAAAGGTACAAAACAGATTTTAGTACTTCAATAGGTTGGTATATAATAACATTTTATCAGTTAATGAAATTACGGTATTTAACTGTAAATTTAAGTTAAAACCGTAAAACCTAAAACGTTGCTACCGTATTTTTTACGGTAAAATTCCGGCAACCACAGCTGCCGGTTTTCTACCGGAAATTTTACGGAAATTTTTTTACAGTGTAGTACATACCATTGAAAACAATAAACTATTGTAGGCTATATATCAAAATAGTATCATGTACCATGGTAAAGCACAGTACTGGTTTTTAGTGTTTATCCCAATCTACTCCTAGAGCTCTCTAAAATGATCACCCCATCCCCGAACCACAAAACCAGCCATCCATCGCTCCCCTGTCCCATCTTCATTCCCCTTCATGTCATCAGTGCACACTTAATGCTTGTTGTCACGGTGACTGGGCTTGTCCGGTTCCTCTCGGTTTCACCTGTTCTGGCTCATCAGACGCTGACACAGAAATGCTGGCACTTAACCACCCATACCTGATGATATGTGTTAGCGCTGGCGGCCCCGGGGCCCACGTGGTGTGCCTCTACTGTCACATCAAGTTAACGCGCTATAGATGTGACGCTCATTAGCATTAGCCACACGATTCATCGGCCACACATTCCACTGTTTGATTGGTTGTGAAGTCACCGACCAAATATGAAGTGTTATCTGATTGCTGCTTCTGGTAACCTAGGAGACAGTGTGCACGTTTTGAACGGGGCATTGTATTTGACACGTTGAACGTGTGTTTGTGTTAAAGGTTGATGTTTGAAGGTTGATTAGCTTTCCAATTAGCCTTCATGTTATGTTACCGTGTGACAAATCTTTGCGCGTGCATGTATCTGAATGTTTGCAGTTGTGTTTAAAGACAAGCCGAAATGCCCTCTCCCCAGTTTCGCACATGCTCAGTTCCAATTTCAACGTCAATCTGACTTAATTAGCATGACAATTAGGGACTGCTGCCAAGGCAATCAGTTAAATCAATAATGCAGTTATGAATACATGAATATTATAGACAAATGATCCATATTCATCTGTCTCATTTTCTCTCTCTTGCTTTGTTTTTCTCCACGTGTGCAGACATGGGCTGTAAATTGCAGAAGCCTCGAGGGTCAGATGAAGCTCCGGGTAAGATTTTCTCCACCCTCAGAAGAGCACAAGTGGAGACACACTCAGGAGTGGCCTATACATACCACTTCCTGGACTTCCTGTTAGGAAAAGAAGGTACACATGCCCATTTCCTGTACACTTTGTCTATTGAAAAGTCCCTTTGTATGTGTTGTTGTTGTTGTTTATTCTCAAACATTTTAAATGGCATTTAAATGGCCAGATTTTCATATGGATAATGAACTTTGGCCCTTAAGGTCCGTTCACACAAAGGACAATAACTATAATGATAACTATAAAGTTTTAATAATCATTCTAATTCTTTGAGAATGTTACATTCAATGTTACATACAACTGTAACAATAATGACAAAGAGGAACAATATCGTTGGAATTACTTTGAGAATAATTTTTTCCACCTAATGTGCAATAAAAAACATTGACAGCCAATCAAAATCCACCCAACTTTAAAGGGCTTGAACATTTGTGGCAGACACAAAACTGCAATGCACACTTATAATAAACCAAACATTATCATCCGTTGGTGTGTAATTATCGTTGTTAATGTGAATGGGACTTTACCCATATTTCTGTATAACTGTCATCTTTACATGTCATTATGGAAGTAGCACCTCTGCAATATTTACCAAGCTGTCCAAATACCAAAACAGACCATAAACCAAAAAAAACAAACAGTGGGACAAACTACTGCAAAACTAAAACTATTAAAAATCATTGCCATTAATTAAAATCAAGTTGAAATATTAATATTTTTAATAAAATTACAAAAGCACATAAAAATGCTTGAAAATGAAAAGTAAAATAGAAAAATATATACTGATAAATACTTTAATGGTATATAAATAATACTACTATAATACTATACTTTAAGTTTTTTTTCTTCTTCTTTATGACTTCATAATTCATGCATCAACGGATTAACATACGGTGACATACAGCATAAATATGATTGCTGTATTTCAAAATTCGAAGAAACATCCATATTGATGATATGCATATGCAAATGCGCAAAAACCCACCTTCAGATAATAAAGTGTAAAGCTTCAAACTGTGAAGAAAAAAAAGTGTAATATTAGATGAGAGAGAGAGAGAGAGAGAGAGAGTAATAGAGCAAGAGAGCAACCAAACCGTGTTTATTCTTTGAGGGCTTATGTTTCTAAATATACTAATGCCGCTTTTGTTAGTGTGCTTCGAGAGAAGTAATAATGGATCCCGCTGAATTCAGAGAAAGAGGATATGAGACAGGATGAGAGAATATAAGACACAGATTGAAGTTGAAGAACAGACCTGCTTATTTTAATGACTTGAAAGCATATGAGTATATGGGCCATTACTGAACATAATTACAAGGATGCGACCATATCACTAGTTTTTTTATATTTGTGCATGGGGATAGTAATAGTAAAACCTGAATTTACCTACATTATGGGCACCATCCAGTGGTCTCCAGGAAGAAGACATGCTAGTAAACATTCTAATTTCTTAAAGGGGTCCTATTATGCTTTTTCACTTTTTCAACTTTAGTTAGTCTGTAATGTTGCTGTTTGAGCATAAAAAAGATCTGCAAAGTTACAAAGCTCAAAGTCCAATTCAAAAGGAGATATTTTATTTAACAGAAATCACTTTTCAAAAACTACAACGAACGACTCGTTTGGACTACAACGCACATTTTCCGGGATTTGTGATATCACAAAGATCGACGAATGGGACGAGACCTGGTAATGAGTGTTATCACTATGTCAGAGACACGCTAGCTTTCCCAAGGCAGACGAACTTAGAGTGATTACAGTCATCCGGGTTTAAATCACGCTCAAATTGATTTGATTTTGACGCAATATTTACACTGAAGCTCGCAGGCGGCTATGGTAAGG